AATGGAGGAATAATTTTGTTTTCAATGATGGCCAACAATCGCCGTTCTCACCCCAGAAGTTCATTTTTCAATTTGCAAGGGATTGGTATGATGCCAACAAGTGTTCTTCTAGTAAGCCTCCTAGACAAATCATCTCAATCCATTAGATCTGTCCACTAATTGGTAGATATAAAATCAATACAGATGGGAGTTGTAATGACCCATTTAGCCACATAAGTGCTGGAGGTTTGCTTCATAATTCCAAAAGGGGAATGGATTAAGGGATTTGCTGCTAATTTGGGGAGATGAACCATCATGGAAGCTAAGCTTTGGGGTGTTTTCATGGGCTTTTCACATAATTTTCTAACTATTAGATAAAACAAAATGTGTTGATGAATACACAAATTCCACATTAATGCCTTAAGTTGGTTCTACGTCTAATATCATTGATGCCTCTTATGATAAAAATCTCACATCTGCTATGTTGTGTAGGTGATAAAACTCACACTAAATAAACAATACTGATATAATTAGTAGTTGGTCACTCATTTGCCTCTCTGAAATCTAGGCAAAATGTACATCATCTTAAGTAATTTATAATTATAATATCATCTTAAACTTTTTCCCACCTCCAAACATCTCGTTAGGCGAACCCTCATGAGCAGCAGAGGAAGTCTTTAGTTTTTTCTCAATCGGCATCCTTGAGCAGGCTGGAAAGATTTCTTCTTTCCACCTTCATTCATAGTAAGTTCCACGACAGCGATCAGATGAGCCAATGCATTCGCCTTAATCCTCTTTATCTCATCTCTCGGGAGCAGCCCATATTTCTCTCGACGAAGAGGACTAAGCAGCCAACGCTATTCATGGTACTCAGCGGGGGGGCTCAACCCATGCTGGCTTTTCCTTTATTTTTTCTCTCGGACTAGCAGGCAGGAGGCCTGCATACCCAGCATTCCAGCAACCCATGAGGCATGCGACCTCCTCATTTCTCTCAACCCTCGGCCTGGCCTACGTCAAGTTTAAGAGCCCAAAGGACATGAGTCATGCGGCTCACCTAGCATTGTGCCCCAACACCTCAATCCTCGACCTCAGCCGCACAGCTGCCCTTGGCTCTAGCTAAGTCGAGGAACCAAAACAGTGGTCCCTGCCACAACACTCTTCGACTCATGCCGAGCCGACTCCTGGCCCCTGCCAGTTGATGTGCCACACCACCCTGACGGCTACCCCACGACAACACTATCCAAGAAGAAGATAAGGAAAATTAAAATTTTCTTACCTCAGTGCGGCACAAAGTAGACGAAAAAAGCAACAAAAGACGATTCTTTACAAAGGGCAAGTGTAAAAGTTGCTAGGGTAGGGAGAACAAATATCTTCTAGCCTTTTCTCTCTTGTAGGGTAGAATAGATTGCTCTCTGAAGTTGATTTAATCATCTACTTAAGGTAGACTTAAATAAACTTTAGAAGTGATTTATTTCCCTTTCCTAGAAGGATCTAATTTCCAACTAATGTGGGAATCTACATCAAAATAGGAAACAATCTTACGTTTCCTAAAGCAAGGGAAAATCTCAACACCTGCTGCCCTTTCCTGTGAGTAACCAACAGGTGTGGGGGCATTTGTGGAGCAAAAAATAATTAAGAAAATTATGGAGGCGACACATGGACTTTTGGGTGAAAATGACAAAATTACCCTCGAGGCACAGCAGGATTCCCACACGCATGCAACAGGCAATAACGGCTCAATCAAGGAAGAGTCAAAGTTGATCAACATGGTATTTTTTTCAAAACCCTCTCATCACTCCTCATCAAATCCTCACTCAAAAGGTAACTCCTAATTATCCTATTTAAATTATGATTGATTACCAAATTAATTGTAAGATATTATTTCACATAATATCTTGCAATTAAACTCATAATTCTACCAATAATGACCGGTTCCTATTTCTCCAAAGAGGGATGACCACACCTCTATATATAGCCTCATTCTCCCACTAAAATGCTAAGTTCATTCTCTCCCAAAAATCCCCTAAACACTTTCTCTCTAAAATTTTAACTTTGGCATCCGAGATTCTTCGGCCAAAGACCCCCCCTTTCATCATGGGCGCGTGAGGCTTTTGGCCATAATCTTAGGTGTTATTATTTTGCAGGTGCCTTTTCGTCAAAGGAGAAGAAGGTGGAAATTTGCATCCACAAAACGCACATTTGGTTTTCATTATGTGATTTTAAATTTTAAAGTTTGTCCCTTTTACATGGGTGTTATCTTAGAGAACATCCCGGTTCAGTGGTTGTGTTATTTTTAAAGCATCATGAGTTTTAATGTCATATGCAATCCTTCGAGACCGTTGGATAACGATTTTGTTTCGAGGAGTGATTGCTTTTTACATTCCTTTTTTCACCTCTTTGCATTCCTCTGTTTTGAACCCCAATGAGAAATCTTTTTTGTATGATAACAATCTATCATGCAGATGATACTGCAGTGAAGGAAAGTAATCATGCCTATGCACCTTAGTGTAGATTCTCCCACTAATTCCCCTTCCCCCTAACAACTAAGTATCTAATCCACTAACGTTATCACTCTCATAACAAAACGAACAATACTTGGGTGCTCAAGGGATGAATAAGAATTCCTACTCAAAACTATTCATTGCCAATTCATTAAACTTCGTGTTTTAATCAGAACTGTTCATACTATAAATCGCTTTATAAAAATCGCCTATGCAAAAAAATCAAATAAAACTAAGGCTATTTAGTCAATGAAATGTTTTGAAATCTATCTTTGACGTATTGAAGGGTTCCGAAATCTCTCTTTGGCGTATTTTAGGGTTTGGCAAAAAGTACCTTAATGTGCCGTCATGGTTGTTTGCCAGTTTTCTCAGCAAACTAAGGTCTTTGCTTTTTGCTCATATATATATATATATTCTCTTGCATTATATCTTATTTGTTTAATAACCATCCATTATTGCTATCATACGATTGTGTGAAATTTTATGCCTTGTTTGGTAGTTGGGAATGGAAGAAATAGGAAATCTCTTGTCGACGTATTGAACGGTTCGCAATACGAAGATATTTTTTATGCTCATTTGGTGCTTAATATTGATTAGATTGGATTGGACAAAGATTCAAGGTCAAATTAAAGGTAGAGTGAATCATTTTAACAATTTTAAGGGATTAGAGAAAAAATTATCTCATTTTCGTCTTGCCATTCCTTGGGAATTGAAAGTGATGATTTTTCTTAATTAGAAACTTATCTTCTACTTTCACTTTCGACTGGTTACTACAATTTACATGCATTCTTGAGAGACGTCGTATCTATTATTTTCTTGCATGCCGTATATGTCACTAAATAGTATTAAAATGAAAATCAAATCAATATATATTGGTAGTGAATTTGCAATTTACACGAATTAAACTTAAAATGTCATACTTACAAATGAGAAGAAATATCATTAGAACATAATAAGTCTTCGCTTTTTGGTTTCTTTCATGCCAAGAAATTCTCTTCAAACGTGAATGGGGGTTTGGATAATTCTAAGCAAAAATTAAATAAATAATAATTATTAAAAATAAAATAAAATAAAATCAGCTGCAAACCTTTGGTTGCTCCCACACGTGTGTGTGCAGACTTGTTAGCTGTAAGCAACCAAACAGAACGCACCTCTCTCCTCGCATTCGCCCTCACTCTATCTTCTCTTGTGCATTGGAGTAGTTCTGTTGATTGTTGTCATTAGAACGGCATCATTTATAATCAAGAGGATTGGGTCATTTGCTCTTACCCTCCAAAGGGCTAAAAAAAAAACTTGCTATATTGATGACAAATATTTAAGAGAACTATTATTGACATTGTAAAAATCTAATTTGCATTCCTTACAAGAGTATTTTTCATTCCAAATATAAGAACTTTAGAGTGCATAATTAAATTTTTTGAAGTACCAATAATAATTCTCATAATTAATTAACAATTACTATATGGAGAACAAATAAAAACTTAGAAATAAAAAAATGATTTCGTTATCTTTCCCCTTAAATCGATACCATATTTGCCGATTTTATCCTAGTTTAATTTAGCTATTTCCCTGGACTATTATAAATGACCAATTTTCCATTAAATATGTATTTGTTATTTTTCTTTTCTTGTATGTGACATTTTACAAAGGCTGGATGAAATGGAGGAAACATGATGTAAGTAGTGGCATTGGCCATTTACAATAATTCGGGAAAAAATTAGCGAAACATTCTTTTATTTATTATTTTTATGAAAATCATTACCTTTTAAAATAGAGATGGGCGGTGACAGTGACATATCTGACATCTTGTGCTCATGCCAAAAAAAAAAGCAAGTCCATCAACCGTTGTTTAAAAGAATAGTGGTTATGTTTATAGTTCCACATAAAGACCAAGTAATAATACATTAATATTTATAAAAATGAACTTATTAGCACTTCAAGAATTTCATTCTACACTCCTCATAAGTGTATTTTTTTTCTTCTAATTATAGAAAGTTTGAGTGCAAAATGAGATTTTGGTGTGCCAATAACAATTCCCTTTATAAAACATAGACTAAATTGTACATAGCGGTAAAACACAAGGTTGCAAAATTTTCTTTACTCTAAAAACAAGGTACTTTTCAATTTGCTTTCACAAGTGGAATTGTGGAAATTTGTCTTTGACTCAATCTCTCTTCGATGCATTGAGGGGTTTGGAAAATATACATTAATGTGTGGTTATGGTTTTTTGCGATTGATTGGATAAGGTTCAAGCTCAATTGAAGATAGAGGTGAATGACTTTTTATTTTTAAGGGATCAGAATGGGATTAGGCATAAAAGAAACTTAGTAAACTTGACCTAGTTGGGAATAATTTCACTGGTATCTTGTCGATAAGCCTTTACTCATGCAGGTCCCTAAAAGTAATTCGGTTGAGTGGAAATTGTTATCTAGAAGGAAAAATCATCCTGAGATTCTTTCATTGGAATCCTTGTCCTTCCTCTTGGTTGCTCATGCACGATTGACTATTATCATAGGGACAATGAAGATATTAATGGGTTGCAAAAGTCTTCACACACTCCTCCTTACTGGTTCGTTTGACCGCAAGGCAATGCCAACTGATGATGACATGGTGGATTTTCACGGATTCCAAAATCTTTGTTTCTTGAGTTTGGTTAAATGTGGGCTTACTGGTCAGATAACCGGTTGGTTGTCAAACCTAAAGAATCTAGAGATCTTATTTCTGGGTAATAATCAAATCACAGGGTCAATTTCAAGTTGGTTGGGGACTCTTCCAAAACTCTTTTATGTGGATCTATCACTCAATCAAATTTCAGGTGAATTTCCTAAAGAACTCTGTAGATTACCAATGTTACAAGTGAATGCATCCCTAATAGACAATTATGAATTCGAACTTCTCATCATGAACAAACCAATCAAAACTCTAACTTCTATGCCTCATGGAATGTTTAACTTTCCAGGTTTGATAGACCTATCAGTCAATAACATTAATGGTAGTATACCTACTGAGATCAGTCAATTGCAGCTTCTTTGTGAGTTGTATCTTCACAGCAACAACATCTCTAGCGACATTCTGAACCAAATATCTAACCTAATATATTTAGAGAATTTGAACCTCTCCACGGATAATTTGTCTGGAAAAATTCCCTCGTTCATGACGAGCCTTAATTTCTTAAGTGTTTTCAGTGTCTTATACAATAATCTTCAAGGACAAATACCAACAAGCACGCAGCTTCAGAGCTTCAATGATTCTTCATTTGAGGGGAACCCAAAACTTTGTGGCGCTCCACTTCCAAATGAGTGTAGAGAAATTGATCAGGAGAACAAGAACAACGTCTACCAATATGCGGATAATGAATGCGATGAGCTTCCCTGATGTTATATTTTTGTAGCCCTAGGTTTTATTGTCGGATTTTGAGGAGTTTGCGGTTCTTTAGTTCTTAAAAAGACATGGAGGTACGCTAATTTCGATTCCTGAATAATGTATAAGATTCGCTCTATGTGAAGATGGCGGTGTGGCATATGAAAAGAAGGATTAAGGACTAAATTCTATATTTTACTATATATTTTTCAGTTTCAATAAAACTATTTGGATTCACAAAATTTACATATATTTGCTGACTCACTCTCTAATAGAAGTCCTACCACTGTATTTAGATGTACACATATGTATTAGGGAGTTAATATGTAAGTGTGTAAAGTTCGTGTACACAAATAGCCTCACTCTTTCAGTATTTATTTATTATTGTTATTTTTATGTTTTCATTATGATGTAATCTTTGTTCTTATATTGTAATACGATAAACCTATTTAGTCACACAAAATTTACCACATTCGTTGAGTAATTAATACATGTGTATTACCATTAATTGTACATGTCTATATGAGTCTCACATGGATTAGAGAGCATGTCAACAAATATGTCAATTTCGTGTGTTCAAATAGCATCACCATTATTAATATATGCTTCAAGTGTCACCATGGTGTAAGCCGAATGTCAACACTGATGAGAAGATACTATGTCACGCTTCGATCCCGAGCTACGACTAGGATTGACACGTGACGTCATCACACACCTTTTCATCTTTCAATGTGTCAACAGTGTAGAAATTTTTCTATACTCACATGGATGCATCTAACCTCTGTGTTAGATTGCCTATGTACCCTTAGTCAGAATCAAGCCATTCATAGTTCATCATTCTTTCGACTTTGACATTTATCATAGTACTTTCTGACAAAAATGCATAGAATTCCAGAATCATTCAAGTAAACTTGACGAGCATAATTCATTAAATTCCAGACTAAAAGCAATCATTTCATGACCAGGATTTCCATTACGACATTAACATAAAGCACACTGTTTTCCAACACCGATTCATAATCACTTCAAATAATTGATTCAATGACTCAAAGATGCATAATTCAACTACATTAATGAATCAATAATATCAAATATCGATTCACGAAGTTTAATAAGGCAAGCCTCTATATTTCCCTACCTGGATTCCAAGCAATAATATTATAACCCTAAGTTACAAAAACAAATGTTTACCCTGATTAATTTTATTCACTAGAATCTAGGGTTTCTGACTAACCATGCGGAACAAAAAAAGATCTATAATTTCGGTCCGCTCAATAGATTCCAACCTGGAAGTAGTCACTCTAGAATATACTAAGCAGAACCATAGGCATAGTCTAATTGTGCAGGTAGTGATCACCCATCGTGGATTTACCACTCATGATCACCCCTGAAATACGTATAGACCCTCATTGCTGATATACCAAGCATGATCATTCTTAGAATGCGTATGGTCCTTCATTGCGAATAAACCAAGCAGAACCAAAGGTATAATCTAATAACGTAGTCAGTGATCACCTATCGCAGATATATCAAGCATGATCACCCCTAAAATACGTATGGTCCCCCATCACAGATATATAAAGTAGGACTATCCATGTACCATTGCTACATGGTGCAATCATATCATTACACAACAAGCATCAAATCAACATGAATTCTAATTACTGGCATACGCATTATTGATACCACGAGACAAACATTCATCGAATCAGATAACGTACATTTTATAACCTACGTCAGTTCATTATGAATCATAATTTCAAATGTATATACTATCAGTTTCACTTAACTAACCAATACCTAGCTGCAAAGACATATGAGTTCTACAAAATAATTCTAACGAGGTTCCAACTCATATTTTTCATACTAGTAATCATACATCCCATTTATGTTATCTCGAAGTTCAATAAACATATATATCACAATAAGGCATCACATGCACGTAAACTGAAACATACATTAACTAGGATAGCTCGTTAACCAAGATAGGTCACTACGCTCCATTTAGTATCTAGTAATACTAATTTTAGTATGAAGAACAATTCAAAACATGTTGACCAAAGGTTAACTCTTGGTCAATGTGATCAATGAAATAGTTAATGGAAGATCCGCTTACCAGATTCCTTATCCGTAACTAATTAGGGGTCTGAACATGTTTTTAGAACAATATACTAAAATTTCAGGATGATCCAACGATTAGATCTCCGCCAATTGCCAAATTCGAGTAACGGTCAACGATAGGTCCTACAAACTTAGAAATACAATTCAGGAAGATCTATCAGTCATATTTCTGATCCATAAGTTTCCATGGTCCTCAAAATATTATGTACAATAACACATTCAATTTTGGTGATGATGCCAAATCGTCGTTCACTACAAGGGTCAAGTGGTATACTTTAACGAAACTAAGTTCAAACGACAGAATTTTGTCAATCGGATTTCAATTATGGAATTAGGATATTTAATTTAGCCTAGGAAGGCCAAGTGGTGTCTAGGGCCACGGGTCGCCACACGCAGCGACCAACGGCCCAAATTCGAGGGCAAATTCACCTATTTGCAAAATTCCTCAAATTATACCACAATGAAGATCATAAGAAAATGATTAAGTTTTATACCTGGGCCGAGGTTCCAATTTGGCCGGGAAGTGGCTTGAAATTTCCTTGGATCGTTGGAAATCCTAGAAATGGGTATTTGTTGATTCGTCTACAAATCGAACTCCGATGCCACAAACTCAGCTTGGTTCTTGTTCCTAAGGTTAAGAGGAGTGGAATGAGTGTGGTGGCTGATGGTGATAGTTGTAGTGAATCACCGCCGTAGCACTCTAGGAGTAACGACACTATTCTACGGGAAAAATAAGCCAAAACAGCTTGGGTTTTTGGTGGAAATAGGAAAGGATATGTCGGGGATGAGTTTCTAGGTGGTGGCTAAGTGAAATTCGTATGAAAATTGCTGAATAAGCATTGGGATTCAGTTGCAACAGTCAAGTCTGTAGTTGGGTCATGGATCATAAACGAGTCGAAAAGGGATTAAGTGATGGGCTCTCTCTTTTACTGATTGGGCAGCATCTCACTCACTCTCTCATCTGATTGGTTTCCAACTCTCTTCTTTCTTTTTCCAATTGGTCAGTTGCTTCTTCTTTTTTCCCTTTTTTTTTTTTTTTTTTTGGGTAGCCCCTTCTTTCTCCTCTTATATTATCTAAGGAAATAAACAAAAATTACCCATTTTCTTAATCTTGGGATAGAAATAGGATTTTTCAAATATGCACACATAGGACAGAAATATGATTTTTCCTACACCTTGAAATGACCTAATTGTCCTTGTACTTAAATGGGTTAATTTGTCAAACCTAGTTAGCATTTCGACCTCCTTGTTCGAAAATCTGTGGCGCCCAACCTTTAGCTCTAAGAACCCTAACCCTAGACGGCTTGATCCTTTTCCACCCCATTTCAGACCGACGCAACCTTTTCCACCCCAGTTTATGACCGATGTAAAGTTTGGAATCTATTTTATATATTTCGGAGGTTTTGTGCTGTGCATTTCCACATCCTTTCAAAAAATTTGAATGGAAAAATAAAAAAGAGGTACGTTTTGAAATGAAATTTCATTATTTGAACCAATATTTTGTAAAATTGGGAATTTTGGGTTTTGGGTGCAATTTAGTGTTTGGTACTATTAAGTTGTTTAATGTTTGTGTTGTGTAAGTGGTTTAGATATTGGTGGAAACTAATTGATTGAAATTTGTTCATCAATTCGTGCATAATCCGAGCATGTCTATTGGGCACACTTGAATTTGGTTCTTGAATTGGTTAAATTTGGGCATACTATATGTATATTCTGTGTATATCATTTTGATATTGCTGGAAATAATCGATTGAATTTTATTCATGATTTGGTAGAAACTATGTGCATATTATGTGCATATCATATGCATATTCTGTGCATGCGTTGATGTTGGGCATACTTGGTTGTATTTGGTTGATGAACTGATTTAATTTGTGCAGACAATAAGCATATATTGTGCATAATAAGTATATATTGTGCATATTTGGTGTGCATGTTTATCTTATTTAATTGATTTGCTTATGTTGAAAATCTTCCATGTCAAAAGTCAAATCTTCATCTCTGTCGGAACTTGTGTGTCCACCAGATGAGGTGTTTCCTTCTACCATCTCCTGCCTATCATACACCTTGGGGAGTCTGAGTAATATTAGAGGCCAAGTTTCAAAGGATCTACTGAAGAAATTTGAGGATTCTTGTTTCGGTCATTTGGTTGATGTCAACCGCATTGACTGGTTTGGGCAACTCACCCACTACACAATCCTTGGCTATTAAGGATAGAGTGAGTGATGATTCCATCTCTTTCCTTTTTAGAGAACATGTTGCGACTTTCGAGAGCTGCGAATTCTATTTGGTGACTGGACTCAGTTTCTGAGAATTCCCCCCCAAAGAGAAGGAAGATGAATGTCGTCTTAGAGACATCTATTTTAGGGGGTAGAAGAAGATAACGCTGAACAATTAAAGGATCAATTCAACTTGTGCCAAAATCCAGAAGATTTGTGCAAGTCAGTTATTGCCCAAGATTTTCCATTGAGACACCAACTTAAATCCATCCCATCCTAAGCTGAAGAAAATTTTTTTTTTCTCAACAATCGGTACGTGTTTGTTCTAATTTTAATAAACTTATTGAATTTTTATTACCAATTGGTTGTACTTATGTACCCAACACCGATTTTGTCGGATGCAAGTTCTTGTCCAGCCGATTACTCCGACCGAGGAAGAAAAGAAGGTGCCTTATTGGAACATCATGTTTGATGATGTTCAACCTTGTAGGGATGCAACACCAGAAAAAGAAACTGAAGGTGTTGCGGATCCTAATCATGACTCTGAAAGGGAAGGCAGAAAAAGGATACCACACACACATGGGAGCGTTGCTATCGTCATCTCGTTCAGTGGTGACTACATAAATCTGTAAATTGTTGTTTCAATTTAGAGGCTTGTACTGTATCTGAATGGAG